AGGTGGAGAATCTGCTCCAAATTCTTGTCGTAGAAGGAAATTACTGCATGGCCGGAATCACTGGGTTGTGGTGTGTTTTCTGGGCTGTATGGCCATGTTCTAGAAGCATTCTCTCCTGATGTTTCACCTACATTTGTGGCAGGCATCTCAGAGTTTTTGAGGTCTCACACACTCTGTCAAATGCAGGCAAAATGTCAGGAGAGAATCCTTCTAGAACATGGCCATACAGCCCGAAAAACCTACAACAACCCAAGGAAATTACTCTTCAATAGCAACTTTCTCCTTGGGTTGTGGTGTGTTTTCTGGGCTGTCTGGCCATGTTCCAAGAGCATTCCCTCCTGGCATTTCGCCCACATCTATGGCAGGCATCCTCAGAGGTTGTGGGGTCTGTTGGAAACTAGGCAAGTGGGTTTATATATCTGTGGAATGATGTCCAGGGTGGGAGAAAGAACTCTTGTCTGTTTGAGGCAAGTGTGAATGCTGAAATTGATCACCTTGATTAGCATTGCTTTGAATGCAATATTCCTGCTTCTTGGCAGAATGGGGTTGGACTGGATGGCCCATGAGGTCTCTTCCAACTCTATGATTCTATGATTAAATGGCCATGAGGTCTCTTCCAACTCTATGATTCTATGATTCTATGATTAAATGGCCTTCAAAGCCTGGCTGGTTGCTGCTTGGGGGAATCCTTTGTTGGGAAGTGTTACTTGGCCCATTCAATGGTAATCAAAACGACAAATTGCAACAGGGGAATTCCAGGCAGGAAACAATCAGGGCCAGCTAACACCTCCCAACAAAGGATTCCCCAGGCAGGAAGCAACCAGACCTTGAAGCTGCAAGGCAACTTGTACAATTAACTGCCTCAAGTAGACAAGAGTTCTTTCTCCCACCTTGGACATTATTCCACAGATATATAGACCTAATTTTCCTAATTTCCAACAGACCTCACAACCTCTGAGGGTGCCTGCCATAGATGCAGGTGAAACGTCAGGAGAGAATGCTTCTGGAACACGGCCATACAGCCTGGAAAACACACCACAACCTAGTGATTCCAGCCATGAAAGCTTTCGACAATACAATTTCCCTCGTCATAAATTGGTGGGATCCCCAGAGCTCAAAACACAGCCAACGCAAAAGATAAAGTGACTTGACGGGAGAGAAAGGGTTATCCTGTGCTGACCTTTTGTTGCCCAGATTAGAGTTCTGCTCAGGACTGGCATCCATAATGCGCAAATATACGAGGGGTGTGAATTCAAGACTTCCCCTGATCCACTTCTGTGTATCACAGGATGCTGAAACTTCATATGTGTAATCATATAAGTCTCTATAATTTACGTGCCAATTTACAACTCAGAACTGAGAACGGTCTTGATTGTACAGGTGCTGAAGTGGTGTGCGGTTTGGGAATGAACCCAGTGGAATACAGAGCAGTCCTCAAGTTCTTTGACTTGAAAGGCTACACACTAAAGGAGATGTCCAATGAGATGAAAGAGGTTTCTGGTGAGGTTTCCCCATCATATGATGGAGTCAAGAACTGGCATTGTCAATTCCAATGTAGTCCAACTTTGGTGGAAACAGCTCCAATTCCAGGGCGACCCCACTCTGCTATTGAGGAACACACCATCCTGCAAGGGGAGGTAGACATTTTGGAAAATCGCTGTATATCCATTTGCCACCTAGATCAAAAGTCAAGATTAGTGTGTGGTCTGTGGACAAAATCCTCCAAGACCATCTTCACCTGCATAAGGTATCCGCTTCCTGGGTCCTCCAACTGCTCATACTTTTCCAGAAGCAGGAACGAGTCAAATGCTTTCAGGCTCTCAAACTGTGCCAAGTTTCATTGCTCTCCATCCACAGGAAGTGGGTCAGGGGAAAGCTTTAATGAATACCTTCTGTCTTGATGTGGAAGTTCAGGAGGGACAAGAGGTGACCCTGCTTGCATCCAAAAGCAGGAGAACCTCCTAGCTGACCATTACCAGTGGCTCAACTGGGATGCCAGTCCAGAGCTACCCATGGAGTGATTTGCCAACTTGTGCACCAGCATAGAATCATAGAATCCTAGAGTTGGAAAAGACCTCATGGGCCATCCAGTCCAACCCCCTGCCATGAAGCAGGAAATTGCATTCAAAGCACCCCCAACAGATGGCCATCCAGCCTCTGTTTAAAAGCTTCCAAAGAAGGAGCCTCCACCACACTCCGGGGCAGAGAGTTCCACTGCTGAACAGCTCTCACAGTCAGGAAGTTCTTCCTAATGTTCAGATGGAATCTCCTTTCTTGTAGTTTGAAGCCATTCCATTGTGTCCTAGTCTCCAGGGCAGCAGAAAACAAGCTTGCTCCCTCCTCCCTATGACTTCCTCTCACGTATTTATGCATGGCTATCATGAATCCTCTCAGACTTCTCTTCTACAGGCTAAACATGCCCAGCTCTTGAAGCCGCTCCTCATAGGGCTTGTTCTCCAGACCCTTGATCATTTTAGTCGCCCTCCTCTGGACACATTCCAGCTTGTCAATATCTCCCTTCAATTGTGGTGCCCAGAATTGGACACAATATTCCAGGTGTGGTCTAACCAAGGCGGAATAGAGGGGTAGCATTATTTCCCTAGATCTAGACACTATGCTCCTATTGATGCAGGCCAAAATCCCATTGGCTTTTTTTGCCGCCACATCACATTGTTTTCTCATGTTTAACTTGTTGTCCACGAGGACTCCAAGATCTTTTTCACACGTACTGCTCTCGAGCCAGGCATCCCCCATTCTATATCTTTGCATTTCGTTTTTTCCTGCCAAAGTGGAGTATCTTGCATTTGTCACTGTTGAACTTCATTTTGTTAGTTTTGGCCCATCATCTCTCTAATCTGTCAAGATGGTTTTGAATCCTGCTCCTGTCCTCTGGAGTATTGGCTCTCCCTCCCAATTTGGTGTCGTCTGCAAACTTGATGATCATGCCTTCTAACCCTTCATCTAAGTCATGAATGAAGATCCTGAACAGGACCGGGCTCATGGAGACAAGAACTAGCATCGCCAATTCCAATGTGGTCCAACTTCAGTGGAAACAGCTCCAATTCCAGGGCAACCCCACTCTGCTATTGAGGAATACACCATCCAGCAAGTGGAGGTCGCCATTTTGGAAAATCGCTGAACATGCATTCCAGCTTGTCAATATCTCCCTTCAATTGTGGTGCCCAGAATTGGACACAATATTCCAGGTGTGGTCTAACCAAAGCAGAATACAAGGGTGGCATGACTTAGACACTCTATTCCTGGATTTAGACACTAGACTCCTATTGATGCAGGTCAAAATCCCATTGGCTTTTTTTGCCACCGCATCACATTGTTGGCTCATGTTGTCCACGATCCGATCTATAGAATCATAGAATCAAAGAGTTGGAAGAGACCTCATGGGCCATCCAGTCCAACCCCGTTCTGCCAAGAAGCAGGAATATTGCATTCAAATCACCCCTGACAGATGGCCATCCAGCCTCTGTTTAAAAGCTTCCAAAGAAGGAGCCTCCACCACACTCCGGGGCAGAGAGTTCCACTGCTGAACGGCTCTCACAGTCAGGAAGTTCTTCCTCATGTTCAGATGGAATCTCCTCCTTGTTGTTTGAACCATTGTTCTGCGTCCTAGTCTCCAAGGAAGCAGAAAACAAACTTGCGCCCTCCTCCCTGTGGCTTCCTCTCATATTTTTCACTCATAATGCCCTCGAACCATGCGTCCACCATTCTGATGATGTATTGTGGGCTTGGCCTCATGTAAGCCGCACCGAGTCCCTTGGGGAGATGGTAGCGGGGTACAAATAAAGATTATTATTATTATTTATTTATTTATTTATTTATTTATTTATTTATTTATTTATTCTGTATCTTTGCATTTCATTTTTTCTGCCTAAGTGGAGTATCTTGCATTTGTCCCCAGAACCAGTCAGGAGGGTTGTACCAAGTGCATCAGTTTTCTACTTTATTCGTAAAGACATAGTCCTGCAAACAATGCACACCGAGAGCACGCAATGTCACTGCTCTTAAATTATGCACTCACAAACACACAAACAGACGGACAATCAGCAACCCAAAAACAAGCAAGCAATGGACTAGAAATTATTATCGTAGGAAGAACAGTGTTAGGAAGGGGAAAGAGGGAACTGTATTCATTCACATTAATGCTGAGGATTTGGGGACTTTTTCCAGGGTCCGTCTTGAACTCCTCTCCCTCCTCATTTCTAGGCTTCTCCTGATGTGTGGGGAACTCTTGACCTGTAATGGTTGCTCATTCCAGAAGCAATGTAGTCCATCTCAACATCAGACCAAGTTTGAAGTGTCCAGGGCAGGCAAACTTCAGCCCTCCAGGTGTTTTGGACCTCATGTTGTGGTGACCCCCAACCATAACATTATTTTCGTTGCTACTTCATAACTGTAATTTGTTACTTTTATGAATCGTAATGTAAATATCTGATATGCAGGATGTATTCGCATTCACTGGACCAAATTTAGCACAAATATCTGATACGCCCAAATTTGTATACTGGGGGGATTTTGTCATTTGGGAGTTGTAGTTTTCTGGAATTTGTAGTTCACTTACAATCAAAGAACATTCTGAACTCCACCAGTGATGGAATTGGGCCAAACTTAACACACAGAACTCCCATGACCAACAGAAAATATTGGAAGGGTTTGGTGGGCATTGTGTCAGGTTTTACAATGTATTGTAATGTAATATAGCTGACTCATGCACTGCTAATAGGCTTCTATTGGAAATGCTGAGTCATGCATTAACTGTATATAGACCTTCATTTGGGGAATGTGTTCTGGCCTAGTCCAGGTGATTGTGAATGATGGAATCCTGGGTCTGAGTTAAGTTAATGAGTTGGGAACCAATCAGAGATTGCTATGTGTCATTGTATAGAATTGTATATAAGGAAGTCATGTACAGTGTATATTTCTCCTTGTGCTGTGATGTTGTTTGTCGAAGGCAAACCTGTCTGATAAGAAAAGATATAACTGTGTGCTGTGGTAAGTTTGTAATATCATCTAGACTGGGGGAAAGACAATGGTAAAACTGACAATGGCCGGGCATGTGCTCAAGTGTCTGTAAAAGGTTCCAGAGTGACTGCAGGCTGTGGGAGCAGTTGTGAAAATATTGTGCAGGAAGAAGCTACTGGGAAGCGCTGAAGTTGTGCAACTGATCTGCTGCTGAATTGTGAAATTAATCTCAACACACTGACCTTGAGTTTTGGAGTTGTAGTTCACCTACATCCAGAGAGCACTGTGGACTCAAACAGTGATAGATCTGGACCAAATTTGGCACGAATACTCAATATACCCAATTGTGAACATTGGTGGAGTTTGGGGGAAATAGACCTTGATATTTGGGATTTGTAGTTGCAGGGATTTCTAGTTCACCTACAATCAAAGAGAATTCAGAACCCCACCAATGATAGAATTGGGTCAAACTTCCCACACAGAACCCCCATGCCTTGAAGGGACTTCCTCCAGCCTCACGCGCTCTCCCTCGCCCGCACATGCGCACCATGCTGCCATGTGCTGAACACACCTGCTCTCTCCTCCCCACTTGGGAGTCTCAAAAACAGCCCTCCCCTTGGCTGACCAATCACAACAGGAGGAGGGCTTTTGGTGGGAGGTTTCCGCAATCTGTTTCCAAAAAGGAAGAAAAGGACAAGTGGAGAGATCTTCCGCCTTCTCTGCCAAAGGGGTTCCTAAGACCATCAGAAATATATGTTTTCTGGTGGTGTTTGGTGACCCCTTTGAAACCCCTTCACAACCCTCCCAGGGGTCCCGACCTCCAGATTGAGAAACACTGCCATAATGAAATGGAAGATGCTCCAGAGAAGAGACAACAATCCACCTTGACTACGATCGTCTCTTGCAACCCAGCATCAACACAAAGGATAAAAGGTTGTATGGAACTCCCCCGTTTTGGACTTTGGAACAGAACCTCCTCCCTAATTGAACACTTTAATTATACGGTAAGAGGGGTAAGAGCATATCTATGTCAAAAGGCCACTGGGTGGGTGCAAGCTGAAGGCCACTAAGCCATAGATCTCTCCATGGACACAGCCAGCAAAGGAGGTAATGCATCTCGGTGTAAAGAGAAGATAGATGCCCACAGAGAAAGACCTGCTATAACCTACAAGGTTCCTTTCAACAAACAGGCATTTTCTTGAAAAGCTACCATAGAATATCAAGTGTTATAGGGGTAAATACTCCATACGTAATCAAAGCTTTGGATTGTCTCTTACGAATTCCCAAATGGAAGGAAAGCTAGAAACAAAAGTTGGGAGAGAGGAAATTTGGGATGGAAAAAAAATGTCCCTGTTGACCAGTGGTCAGGCGGTATCTCAGTTGCCTTCTGAAGACCAGGGCTCTTCTTCTTCTTCTGGGCGGAACGTCAGGCGTTGGCTGGGCTGCAGGTGGAGAAGGTCACCTCCAAAGCTTGGGCCAATGGGGTTTTCCCCCTCCAGCTCCCTCTCCTTCCCTCGAGCAGTCTGTAGGATTTCAGCAAAGATGCTCTGGGGGCCGTCCATATCCTCCCGGCCTTGGTGGTCCAGAAAAGCTTTCTCATGGATTTGAGAGCCAACATCTCCAGCTCTCTGTAGCTCCTCAATGGATGGTGGGCTGTGGCTTACTGTCTCCACCTTGAGGAGGTCATCCTCTGTGTCCTCTCTAGTAAATTCTTCTTGGATTGTGACCTTCTTGCCCCGTTCTTCTCCAGAAGTGCTAACATTGTCCTCCATGCTGTTGGGAAGACCATTGAGGATCTCCTCAGGGAAATTCACAAAGTTGGGCTCTTCCTGCAACCCATTTGTGTTGCTTTCAGACCACAAATGAGTGGATTCTACTGGGTCTTTGGTTTTGTCAGAGGGGATCTCTGATTCTGTCACGATCTGTACCTTCGATGTGACAGAAGCAGAGAAGGAGTGTGCATCTCCTTCCATGAATAGTGGCCCAGCTTCAGCACTCTGCTCAGCTTTGATCCGCTCTTGGTTGAACTCCAGGGCTTGCTCCACAATCTCCAGGATGTCCAAGTCTTTCAGATTGTGGGCTTGCTCCACAATCTCCATGATGTCAGAGTCCTTCATGTCATCTACTGAGATGCCCACAGCTGCTTCCAGTGACCGATGTGGGACTCCCTCAGCCAGTGGATTGACCTCATCAAGGTATTCCTCTTGAGCATGGTCTTCCATTCCAAGACTCTCTCGCTCAACGATCTGGTGGGATTCATGGTTATCTGGCACCATCTCAGCACATCCCAGATCTTTGGATTCGGCTTCCTTGTCCTGGCCACCTGGTAGTTCTTCTTCCAGCACAATCTCCCCCAAGTCAGCCACGCTGGTCAGAGGAGAATCCTTATGGGTCCTTTGAGTGTCCATATTCTCTTGGTCACTCATTTCCATTGAGCTGTCATCGTCCACAGGGATGATTCCCTCAGAACGATCAGGATCAACGAGATCTGCTTGGAAAACACTATCTTTCTCAGGCTCCCAAGCAAAATCTTCTCCGGTTTCTTCCTCGGCGGTCTGCTCTACAAGCTCTTGTTGGGGGCTTCTCTCCTCAGACTGTTTCTCAGATCTCACCTCCAAGTGTTCAGGATCATGTACAACACCCTCTTCCATTCCTGACAGTTCAAGTGTTGCTGAATGTGGGAATTGGTCCTGTTGGAGAACTTCTGATGTTTCCATCTTGGCTCCTTCTGAACCTTTGGCAGATGGAGCCTTCTCTGACTCATCAGCATCTGGCTCCATGTGGTCTCTGTCTTTGTCCTCGATTGCTTCCTGTTCTTTGTCATTTCCTTCTGGTGGGGGGCTGCTTGGACTCTCTTCTTCCTCCAACACTTGCTGGTTCTCCTCTTTCAAGAGTGCAGTGCCATCTCTGGTCACAGGAGATGGCTCAGCAGTCGCTTTACCCTCTGAAAGTGGCTGGGATTCCCTAGAGATTGACAACATCTCCTCCTCATAGAGACGCAATGGGGTATGATCGGGCAATGTTTCCTCCAGCATAATCTGCCGACCATTTTCCAGCTCCTTTTTGATCCCATCTCCTTCATGGGTGGCATTTGGGGAGGTATCAGAAGATTCAAGGGATTCCTCTGACTCCAAAGAGTCATTCTGTGGCTGAAAGTCACTTGTGTCAACGTAGCTTGTGACTTCGGGACCATGGAGAGAGTCATTCTGTACTTCTAAGGGAACCTCTGCCTCCCAGGTGGCATTAGGAATGGCACTTGGCTCAAGAATGGTTGCCTCCTGGCTTTGGGTGGCTTCTTCTTCTTCCCCAAAGACAACCTGCTGCTCATCTTCAGCCCCTCGTGCTTCAGACTTCACCTGCTGAGCTTCAGAGCCCTCTTCAGAGTCTTTGCCCAATTCCTCCAGGTTATGGGGACTGATGTGACCTGTTATTTCTTCCATCTCCAAAGTGCCTGCAACCTCCTCACTCTCGGCCTCTGTTACTTCTGCACCTCTTTGCAATTCAGCTCCTTCCAGGATATGACCATCAGCCTCAAGAGTAGAGGAAGAAGCCTCCTCTTCCTCCATCTTCTCCATCTGCAGCTTCTGAGGAACATCTATCTCCAAAGTGCCTGCAGCCTCCTCACTCTCGGCCTCTGTTACTTCTGGACCTCTTTGCAATTCAGCTCCTTCCAGGATATGACCATCAGTCTCAAGAGTAGAGGAAAAAGCCTCCTCTTCCTCCATCTTCTCCACCTGCAGCTTCTGAGGAACGTTCATCTCCAAAGTGCCTGCAGCCTCCTCACTCTCGGCCTCTGTTACTTCTACATCTTTTTGCACTTTCACTCCTTCCAGGATATGACTATCAGCCTCAAAAGAGGATGAAGCCTCTTCTTCCTCCATCTTCTCCTCCATCCGCAGCTCCTGAGGAACGTCCATCTCCAAAGTGCCTGCAGCCTCCTTACTCTTGCCCTCTGTTACTTCACCTCTTTTTAATTCTGCTCCTTCCAGGATATGACTATCAGCCTCAAGAGAAGAGGATGAAGCCTCTTCTTCCTCCATCTTCTCCTCCATCCGCAGCTCTTGAGGAATGTCCTTCTCCAAAGTGCCTGAAGCCTCCTTACTCTCGGCCTCTGTTATTTCTGCACCTCTTTGCAAGTTCACTCCTTCCAGGATATGACTATCAGCTTCTAGAGAAGAGGAAGAAGCCTCCTCTTCCTCCATCTTCTCCTCCATCCGCAGCTCCTGAGGAACGTCCATCTCCAAAGTGTCTGCAGCCTCGTCACACTTGGCTTCTGTTACTTCTGCACCTCTTTGCAATTCCGCTCCTTCCAGGATATGACTATCAGTCTCAAGAGAAGAGGAAAAAGTCCCCTCTTCTTCCATCGTCTTTTCCATCTTCTCCTTCATCTGTAGTTCCTGAGGAACGTCCTCCTCGGCTCCTTCTGTTTGTTCTCCTGTGAAGATCTCTTGTTCCAGAACATGCTTTACCTCCTCATACTGCAAGGTGGCCTTTGACTCAGAGGTATCATCTTGGAAGCCAACTGCTCCCATGTCTGAGAAGACTTCCTTTTCTTTGTTTCCTATGTCATTCTCTTCTTCACAAAGATCTCTGTGCCTGGAAACATCCTCTCCCTCGGGACCAACCTCCTCTTCCTCAACTCCCTTGCTGTCCATAACCTTTAGCAAGGCGTTTTCATCTTTTCTTGGAAAATCCTCACCCTCTGAGGCTATCTCTTCTGCATTAAAGTCTTCCACATCCAAGATGGCGACTTCCTTCAGCATGGCAGAATCAGTCTGGCAAAGTGATACTTTGGGTTCCTCAAGTGGTTCCTGCTCCTCTTGATGTTCTTCTGGAGGCAAAGCTGTGGAACTCAGGAGAGAGAAGTCCTCAGCAGCAACTTCTGCTTCTACCTCCTGAAACTCACTTCCTAGCATCTCTCCTTGCAGGTCATCCTCTTCATTCTCCCTAGATGGGCTCCAGAGTTCCCTCCTCTCCTCATCCTCCGAGAGGTGAAGGGCTTCAGTACTCACCACCTCGAGGTCTTCCGTCCCTCCTTCCATCTCTTCCAAGGACCCTTCAATGGCACCCAAAGGATCATCGCAGTGGCAGGTGAAAGGTTCAGTGCTCTCCTTAGCAGGGACCTCTTTCCCCAAAGGAATTGCTGGTGGTGTGCATTCAGAAACCTCTTGAGGTTCATCTGCCTGGATGATGGTAAGATGCTCTTCATCATCACCCTCATCCTTCTCTAGAAATCTGATGTCTTTGTCAGTCGTCATTTCTCCAACAGGAGCATCAGACGCACTTTGTTCTCCGATTCCTTCTTCCTCAAACAATCCAGTCTTCTGGGACAACTCTCCCTCCTTGTCTTGATGCTCATCATGGACCACTTGACCGCCATTGGTCTCAGCAGAAGCTTCAAAGCCTTCAATGTCTTCCTGTCCATCTCCTATCCAGTCTTTGTGCAGCTTCTCCATGGCATCAACGTCTTGACCGCCATTTGTCTCAGCAGAGGCTTCAAAGCCTTCAATGTCTTCCTGTCCATCTCCTGTCCAGTCTTTGTGCAGCTTCTCCATGGCATCAACATCTTCCCTGTTTGGAACAAGAGCTACATCGTTTTCTTCTTCCGTGGGAGAAGAGTCAACGGACAGAAAGCCATTTTGTGTCCCTGTTGTGCTGACCAAGCTTGGTTCCAGAAGAAGTTCTCCCACGTTCACATCTTTCATTGCAATTTCTGATGTTTCAGTGACCAGCACATTCTGGCTGAAGGCCTTTCCTGGAGGTTCATCGCTGGGCTGCTTCTCGTCCTCTTTCTCCACCTCTTCAACAATGCCTTCCTTCTCCTTCATCTCCACATAGGAAGCCATTTCCTCTCCACCTTCTCCTTTTTTGATGCCGGAACCAGGTTCTTCCAAAGCATATGGAATGTTGGGACTGATGGAGTCAAACGCCGAGGAGGATTCATGGAAGAAGGACTGGGAAACACTTTCGATCCGTGTTGCCGTGATCACCTGGCTTTGTTGAGATGCACCAAGCTTAAAAGCAGGTGTGTCCACAAAGGTTGGAGCCTCCTCCTGAGCGTTCAGTGCCACGTTGAAACCTTTGGTGGATTGGGACTGAAGGACGGTGTTGGCTTTCTGGAACTCCCTGGCGACAGGGCTTCTGCTCTTGGACAGCAGGGAGGCCGGGCTGGCCACAAAGGAGGTCTCCATCTTGTTCCTAGGTGACCAAGGCTTTGCGTTTGCCTTTGGAAAGGCAGCAGGGTTTGGCCGGGAGTCTCGGGAGCCTAGGCGACCCACTTGAAGTTTGCTGCCATTGGCGTCCACTCTCAGATCTGCAAGGGGCACAAAGGAGGAGAACAAGACAGTTATTATTATTAATAATAATAATAATAATAATAATAATAATAATAATATTTACAGCTTTTATATTCCGCCCTTCTCACCCCGCAGGGGACTCAGGGCGGATTACAGTGTACACATATATGGCAAACATTCAATGCCAATTTTGACATACAACATATACAGACATAGACAGAGGCTATTTAACTTTTTCTGGCCACCAGGGGAGCTGTTGCTTTCATCGTCTTCTTTTGAACTGTGGTTCAAAAGAAGCGGACACAGTATTCCAGGTGAAGAGGTCTAAACAAAGCACCATGTCTCTCCTCATTCTGGGTCAGACATGGGCAAACTTTCCAACTTGGGAGCCACATGCTAACACTCATTGCTAGAAGGACTGGTTGGTCAGTGAAGGAAGGAAGGACAAAAAAGGAAGGGAAGGGAAGGGTGGAAAGATAAAGAGGGAAAGAGGGAAGGAGGAAGGAAAGAAGGAAAGACAAGAAGGAAGGAAGGAAGGAAGGAAGGAAGGAAGGAAGGAAGGAAGGAGAAAGAGGAAAGGTAGGAGGGAGGGAGAAAGAGGGAGGTAGGAAGGAAAGAGAGGAAAGAGGGAAGGAAGGACAAAAAGGTGGAAGGGAAGGAGAAAGGGAGGGAAGGAGGAAGGAAAGAGAGAAGAGGAAAGGAAAGAAAAAAGGGGAAGGGAAGGAGAAAGAGAGAAGGAAAGAGGAAGGAAGGAAGGAAGAAGGAAGGAAGGAAGGAAAGGAAAGAAGGAAGGAAAGAAGGAGGAAAGGAAAGAAAAGAAAGAAAGAAAGAAAAGAAAGAAAGAAAGAAAGAAAGAAAGAAAGAAGAAAGAAAGAAAGAAAGAAAGAAAGAGGAAAGACAAAAGGGAGGGAAGACCAAAAGGTTGAAAAGGAAGGATGGATGGAAAGGTGAGAGGGAAGGAGGAAGGAAAGATGAAAGGGAGGAAGGGAATGGAGGGAGGGAGAAAGTGGGAAGGAAGGAAAGACAAGGAAGGAGGAGGGAGGGAGGGAGGGAGGGAGGAAGGGAAGAAGGAGGGAAGGAGAAATGGAAGGAAGGAAGGAAGGAAGGAAGGGGAATTGGGTGGAAAGGGAGAAAGAGGAAAAATCATAGAATCACAGAATCAAAGAATTGGAAGAGACCTCATGGGCCATCCAGTCCAACCCTCTGCCAAGAAACAAGAATATGGCATTCAAATCACCCCTGACAGATGGCCATCCAGCCTCTGTTTAAAAGCCTCCAAAGAGGCTTTTAAACGCACCCCTGACAGATGGCCATCCAGCCTCTGTTTCAAAGCTTCCAAAGAAAGGAGCCTCCACCACACTCCGGGGCAGAGAGTTCCACTGCTGAACGGCTCTCACAGTCAGGAAGTTCTTCCTCATGTTCAGATGGAATCTCCTTCTCTTGTAGTTTGAAGCCATTGTTCCGCGTCCTAGTCTCCAAGGAAGCAGAAAACAAGCTTGCTCCCTCCTCCCTGTGGCTTCCTCTCACATATTTATACATGGCTATCATATCTCCTCCCAGCCTTCTCTTCTTCAGGCTAAACATGCCCAGCTCCTTAAGCCGCTCCTCATAGGACTTGTTCTCCAGACCCTTGAGAGAGGGAAGGAAAGATGAAAAGGGTGGAAGGGAAGGAGAAAGAAGGAAGGAAAGAGGAAGGAAAGAAGGAAGGAAGATAGGATAGGATGGGGAGAGAGAGGTGGGCCTGAGAAAAGAGCCAAGGGCTCAAATCCGGTTCCCAGGCCTGGGTTTACCTGATCTAGACATTAGCCTCCTTTGGATGCAGCCCAAAATCCCATGGGTTTTTGAGCTGCTGCATCACTCTGTTGGCTCATGTTCACCTTCCTCCCTCTTTCTCCTACCTGTCTTCCTACCTTTGAGGCCAGCAGGCAACTTGAAGTCCATTGTCGTTGGCATCTGCAGCCGGGTGCTCTCGGCCTCCAGAAGGGTCCTACAAGGCAAAAGGGGGTGGGAGAGCCTTTACGTTATGTGACTGCAAACTATATATCCTGTTCCTCCATCCTGATTAGAGCAGACCCATTCAATCAATGGAGTTTATCCATAGGTTGACAAATTCTCAAATAGGACAACCCTGGCTTGCAACCAGGCCCACACACACAACCTTTTCATGTGCTTTTAATGTGTGGTTGAAGGTCCACACACACAACGTTTTAATATACTTTGTTGAAGATTTTCGTGGCCAGAATCACTAGGTTGCTGTGAGTTTTCTGGGCTGTCTGGCCATGTTTCAGAAGCATTCTCTCCTGATGTTTCGCCCACATCTGTGGCAGGCATCCTCAGCAGTTGTGAGGTCTGTCGGAAACTAGGCGAGTGGGGTATATATCTCTGGAAGAAGGTCCAAGACAAAGAAAGAACTGTTGTCTGTTTTGAATGTAGCAAATGGCCAGCTTGATTAGCATTGAATGGCCTTGCAGCTTCAAAGCCTGGCTGCTTCCTGCCTGGGGGAATCATAGAATCATAGAATCAAAGAGTTGGAAGAGACCTCATGGGCCATCCAGTCCAACCCCATTCTGCCAAGAAGCAGGAATATTGCATTCAAATCACCCCTGACAGATGACCATCCAGCCTCTGTTTAAAAGCTTCCAAAGAAGGAGCCTCCACCACACTCGGGGCAGAGAGTTCCACTGCTGAACGGCTCTCACAGTCAGGAAGTTCTTCCTCATGTTCAGATGGAATCTCCTCTCTTGTAGTTTGAAGCCATTGTTCCGCGTCCTAGTCTCCAAGGAAACAGAAAACAAGCTTGCTCCCTCCTCCCTGTGGCTTCCTCTCACATATTTATACATGGCTATCATATCTCCTCTCAGCCTTCTCTTCTTCAGGCTAAACATGCCCAGCTCTTTAAGCCGCTCCTCATAGGGCTTGTTCTCCAGACCCTTGATCATTTTAGTCGCCCTCCTCTGGACACATTCCAGAATGTTACTTTTTGTTAGGTATGAGGTGGCCCTGATTTTTTTCTATCTGGAATTCCCCTGTTTTCTGAGTGTTGTTCTTTATTTACTGATTTTAGAGCCCCCAGTGGCGCAGGTTTGAATCTGGGGAGCGGCGTGAGCTTCCGCTGTCAGCCCCAGCTTCTGCCAACCTAGCAGTTTGAAGACATGCAAATGTGAGTAGATCAATAGATACTGCTCTGGCGGGAAGATAACGGTGCTCCATGCAGTCATGCTGGCCAATGGCCTTGGAGGTGTCTAGGGACAACACTGGCTCTTAGGCTTAAAAATGGAGATGAGCACCACTCCCCAGAGTTGGTTGCGACTGGACTTAATGTCAGGGGACAACCTTTACCAATCTAGCAGTTTGAAAACATGCAAATATGAGTAGATCAATAGATCTATAGGTACCGCTCCAGCGAGAAGATAATAGTACTCCATGCAGTCATGCCAGACACATGATCTTGGATGTGTCTGTGGACAATGCCAGCTCTTCATTTTAGAAATGGAGATTAGCACCAACACCCAGAATCGGACATGACTGGACTTAATGTCAAGGGAAAACCTTTACCTTTATCTATATTTATTTATTTATTTATTTGCGACCTTTATATGCTGCCCTTCTCACCCCGCAGGGGACTCAGAACAGCTTACAAGGTATATATTACATAGAATATATTATATTATTAGCATAGTACAATATCAGCATTAAACATTGCTATATTGCACCATACCACTATATCGTAATATTATTAGCAATATTACATGTAATATAAATATATAATTATAATATCACATTATTATTATATTGCATTACATTATAATATTATAAATATTATATGTATATACAATATATTATATATTATTTATTTATTTATTTACGACATTTCTATGCTGCCCTTCTCACCCCGAAGGAAACTCAGAGCGGCTTACAAGGTATATATTACATACAATATATTATATTATTAGCATAGTACAATATCAGCATTAAACATTGCACCATACCACTATATCGTAATATTATTAGCAATATTACATGGAATATAAATATATAATTATAATATCACATTATTATTATATTGCATTACATTATAATATTATAAATATTATATGTATATATATTATATTATATTCTATACACGCCACTTGCTTGACTACTGTCAGATCCTTTGGAGATGCCAGACACAGATGCAGGCGAAATGTCAGGAGAAAATGCTGCAGTGCAACCCAGAAAGTGTCTGCAAGTGTCAATTGTTTTCCTTGCAATCCTATGCTTGGACCACTTGGGTGACATCATCGCTGACTTCGCCTCCCCCAGACAGCAGGACCCTTATTATCATGCTAATGGGACATGCCCCCTCTTCCTCCCCCCTTTTCTCCAGCCCCACTTTTGTCTGGGAGCCATCTGGAGGGAGGAGACTGGGCTGAGGATGGAGGCCATGAGAGCCCCCTGTTCCCATGGAAGGAAGAAGGGAGCCCCTCTTCCGCAGCAGGGAAAAAGAGGGCCACCTTGGGAGATGAAGCAGAGGCTTCATTCATGCTTCTCTGGACAAAGGGGCGAGGGGTGCAGAAAGGATGCCCAACTCGCAAGGTCAAGAAGGGGGAAGCTCAGTGCTGAGAAGGAATTGGGGGCATTCCTTCCACTCTTGTCTGCTCAAAATATGGTTCTCCCCACCTGTAGGTCGCCACTTCCAGGCTGAGGGACATCTTCAGGTGCATCAGCTGTTGCCGCTCCTCCAAGACCTGGGCGATCTGAGCCTGCAGAGAGTGCTTCTCCTCCTCCAGAGACTCCACTGCCAGCTGCGCACACAAACAGAAAAGACACAAAAGTCATCATTTGGCCCAACTCAACGGCTTACTTGAAGGTGGTTGGGTCAGCTGGCAGGAGCCATGGGCAAAGGCAACCGAGTTGACGGCATTAAGGAATGATGGTTACTGTAATGAGGTCCTGACGCCTGCTGGATTTTCATGACAGGGAAGGCAGAGAGAAGGAAGGAAGGGGGGGAAGGAAGGAAGGGGGGAAGGAAGGAAGGAAGAAGGAAGGAAGGAAGGAGAAAGGGGGGGAAGGAGGGAAGGGAGGAAGGAAGGAGGAAGGAAGGAAAAAGGAAGGAGGAAGGAGGAAGGAAGGAGGGAAAGGAAGGAAGAAGGGAGGGAAGGAGGGAGGGGGAAGGAAGGAAGGAAGGAAGGAGGGGAGGAAAGAAGGGAAGGAAGGAGGGAAGGAAGGAAGGAAGGAAGGAAGGAAGGAAGGAAGGAAGGAAGGAAGGAAGGAGGCAGGCAGGCAGGCAGGCAGGCAGGAAACAGAGAAGAAAGGATTGTAGGAAAAAGAGAGAGATGGAGAAAAGATGAACAGAATGAAGGCAGGCAGACAACAGAGAGGGAAGGAGAGAAGGAAGGAAGGCAGGTAGGAAACAGGAAAAGAAGGAAAGAAGGTAGGAAACAGAGAGGAAAAAAATGTACAATGGATTTCTCCTGAGATGGGAGAATTTATGACTGTTGGTTTTACTGGTGGGTCTATGGACCATAATAAATGTTGTTGTTGTTAACAAGAAAGGGTGAAAGAAAAGTAGGTAGGAAAGAGAGGGGAGGGAGAGAAGAAAGGAAGGAAAGTAGACAGGAAAAAAGAGAGGGAAGGAAGGAAACAGGAGAAAAGGAAGAACAGAAGGAAGTAAGGAAGGCAGCCAGGAAATGGAGAGAGGGAATGAGTGACAATACGGAGGGAATATCGTTCGTTTGTAAGTAATTGGTTAAATTCACTCCGTATACGTAAGGAATAAGTAATGAATTACGGATTACGTCAACCTAAATAACTAAAGAAAAAAGGTGATAAGGAGATGTTGTATGCTGGTAAGGTACTAAATTATTTTCTTATCTTAATTATTTATTAAATCATAAGAGTTAAATAATGTTGTGTCTTTCATTAATTTTTTTTATTAATATAAGTTCTTCCTCATTCTTAATTAATTACCCTTCCTTCCTTCGTAGCCTCATAAATAAATAAATAAACGTTCCATCCTCTTCAG